GTTGATTCAAAAAGTTTGCTCATTAAACCCTCTGAGATAGCCAGTGATTTGCGTAGATTTTCGTTTGACTTTTCAATAACCAACGTCAGGCTGGAGTCAAACTTTTCAAATATCTTTTCAAGACTGCTGTTGAACAGAGTTATGACTTTTTCAAGGTTTTCGTTAGATTTCTTAAGCAGATTGTCGAAGCACTTCATGGTGTGATCATTTGACTTATCTAGTATTTTGGCCACAATACTTTCAAATGACTCGACGGGGATTGCTGTTTGATGTTTAGTTGATGACATGATGATACGTATCAGAATTAGGATTTTTTAAATAAAAATTTTTTAAAAATTTTTAATGGCCAATTATTTAGTTCAGTTTAATAGTCTGTGAAAAAAAAAAAAAAAAAAAAAACAGAATTTCACGCAGCGCAAAGCAATACAGAAATTCAAAACAAGCAATACAACTTTGGAGACAATCCTATAATACAACTATATCTTTATCGAATAGACACTATTTATAATTAAATTTAGATAAATTGAAATAAATAAAACTAATTTAAACCGCAATTAATTAACCAACAAAAATTATATCACCTAATGCAGCAAAATTTTGTCCATTTGACAAACCAAAATACAAGAGAAAAATTCGATAATATCCAGCAAAGTTTAGAAAAAATATGGACCGAACGAAATTACGACCAACTCAAACGATACCTTTGCATTTATTTCTATTGAAAAAAATGATTATTGGAAAAAATCTCGTTGCTTTATACAATAATAATTGAACTAGACTTTTTTCGTCTAATATTAACAAATCTCTTGGAAAAGATCGTGCTGATCTTTATGGGGTTGAATCTAATGCTTCGGACTTTTCTCGATTTTTTTAGCAAAAAGATTGCTTCGGTTCGCAACCCATAACCTGTTTGTGTTGTACACTGCAGATGTTTTTAAAATTAATGATAGATATAAGTTCAAACATCACGGTTTTGTCGATGATATTCAGATCATTGCTAGTGCCCTCTTTTGTCGTTTTGATGATCTGGTCTGTAGACTCAGATCATGTCTTTCAAAAATTAATAAGTGGGTGATGGCAAATAGGCTTAAATTAAATCATTTAAAAGCTTAGTTTTTACCGGTTGGTGCTAGGCAGCAATTGGAAAAAGTGAACATTGAGTCTATCAGACTTGCTGATTCTGACATTGAATTCTGCATATCTGCACGCCACCTGGGATTTGTTTTTGATAATAACATGTCTTTTAACGCTCATACTAGGGCAGTTTCCAAAAAGTTTCTAGCGTTGTTTGTTATTCAATTTCGTAAAAGGTTGAAATACCATCTTTTTGTCCAAGCTTACCCGTGCTAATGTTTTTCTTTCTCCATTCATTGCATTGCTTTAGTAAAGTGCTACGCAATTTACTGCAATATTTGTTAGCGCCTCTGAGATCTTTTTAAAGGGCACTTACAAACACACCAATAATAATAATGTGCCCATGATATGTGTTGTAAGATAAAATTTATTGATTGTTTGAAAAAATTAGCTCTAATATGTTGAAGTGTTTTAATATTTAACAATATTTAGATTTACTATTTATATATTTAATTTAAATGGCAGAGTACAATGCCTGCAAAGTAATGCGACAAACCTTCATGTGCATTCTCAGTTCATTGAAAGTTGAAAACTGATTGGAACATATGAGACAATCAAGTTTATAAGCTTGCTCCTGTTGTTGCTGTTGCTGATGTTGTTGATAATGTTGGTGATGATGATGTTGTTGTTTGTATTTTTTACGATATTGCAGAAGTTGTTGTTGTTGAGTTGTTGATGACTCCTCCAGCAACATGCAGTCGGTTCGTTCCTGCCATGTGTTGTCATCTGTTAAATTAATTTTTACAGAAATTGTGCTTATCTAATTATAATTATAAAATTTAAAAGCAAATGAAAATTATAAGTCACAACACCAGCATTAAAATTTAATTCGTGTTTTGTTGCAGCCTCATCGATTGTTAATGTCATTCTTCAAACAACGTCAACAAACTTCTATAAACAACAAAAATAAAACTATGCTGATGTGGCATGATGTATCTAACGAAGTATTATGTCCAATTAAAAAAAAAGTCATCAACACATTCAACAAGAATTGTACCACCATTCAATGAAGCGTCTAAAACAGATTACATGTAGTTCAGGTGACGGACGTTCAGCGACGGACGTTCAGAACTCTGAAGAAGAAACACGTTTTATTTTCTAATGATGTTTTTTTGTAAAAAAAAGAAGAAATTCAATAGAAGACAAGAGTAGGGCAGCTCAGAGAGTTCTGAATCAAGCAGCGTCAATGTTAAGATACACAGATAGTTCGGTCGATCCAGTCACAATAAAGCTATAACGGCATTCAGGAAAGATGACATTTTACGCAAAGAAATAAGGCCTGCAGATGCGTCTTGTGTGATGAAGTAGTTTCGATAGGGAAAGAATTGCTTTAGACGTGGCTGATGAATGGCTTCAGAAAAGCACTGACAGCCCGGAAATAGTTAAAATGATAGAAAATGCTGTAATAAAGATTCAGATAACATCATCGGTTGAATGCTTTAACGAAATTTGAAAGGTTTCACACAAAAAACAATAACGTAGATTTTATGAATTAAATCAATGAATAAGTTTACGGAGCACATAATGAAAAAAATTTGATACAACCAAAAACAGGCTAATTTGCTAGATCCCCAGTTAACTTTTCAAATTTAAAAAAAAACTTGTTTACTTTTCAAAATTTTCAACATAACCTACTAATAATTTTTTTCAAATTTACCATAATTCACAAAAACAAACAATCAACGATATTAATGTAATAGAGTGTGTTTTTACACACGCACACATATGTCCCGTTACATTTCTCAAAACATTCAAAGCAAAAGTGCTTACACAGCGTTTAAGTTATTATTAATGAATAATGGGAACACTGCTTTTATTTTATCAAATATCACAAAATGAATATAAAGATAGATATAAAATAATGTTTAATATAATAAAGTATTTAAATTAATAGGCTGTTAGTCTAATTTGCTCATCACTCGACAAAAATGAGTACAAACAGAGGATTATAGTCAATAAAAATAAGGTTCATTCATTATTCCTATCGCAATATATTGAGTAAGATGATGATAACACAGAGTTTATTAAATTGTTTCTAAAATCGTTCGACCAAATTAAGTTAACCAGCGATAAATTAAAAGTATTGTAAAAACCCATTGTAGAAATTTCAAATGTTTTAATTAAAAGTTTAAAATTATTGTATTCACTCTTTAAATTAAGTTGAAGGGCTTGAGAGTACTTTTCAATTTTGTATTCTTTAGATTTTTTAAAATTTGTTTCGTGGCATATCGTTAGTTCTAAAATCTCGATCGTGTCGTCGCGGACCAGTGCTATATCAGGGCGCAGAGGTTTAAACAGCGTTGATACTGGAGAAAAATCTTCACACTCCAGATCGGCAAACAACGAGACTTCCAAACTTGCGCATTTTTTAATATTTTCTAAAACTATTGAGAGAACTTTGTTGTGACGATCTGAATATCTTTTCAAAGCTGCAACGGAGCTACAGTTGGACAAAACATGCTTGTTTGTTTGATAAGCGTCACATAGCGGACATTGTGGTTTAGACGTTTTGCCCCATCTTGCTAGGTTGGAGTTTGTTGGAAGTTGTTGAATGATACTTTTCCTAATAAACTTGTAAATAACCTCTGACTTTGTGGCCGTAGACCTTGACCAGCGAACTATTTAATCTGATTTGATGTTTTCCCTCACTGTCTTCAACACTATTCCTTGGGAGCTTAGTGATGATAAATGGTCGAACACCTTTTCTTGCTGTTTGAGCTTCAAATCATGGAGAGTGGGATTTATATCTTTGGTGACTGGGAGCAAGTTGTCTATTTTTGTGTAGTCATTAAATGACTCGCTCCACAGACTTTTCATTTCTTCGTTACCGTTAGATTTAAGGTAGTTGCGAAGCTTCACTCTCAATGATTCAGCATAATGTTTCAGGGATCTGATGTTCAGACCTCCCAATTTGTACGGCAGTGAAAGAATCTCAGATAGACAGCTGCTTATTGGTAAAGCCAGCCAAGTTCTAACGGCATCGTTAATCAATGGATTCAACTTGCTGGCAATCCATGACAGTGATATATCGTAAATACGCAGTTCGAAGGCTACTTGAGCTGGGACAAAACGACGTAAAATTTGAAGTTTCCACTGGGCTGTGGTGTCCAGACTTAAAATCGTTGACAACATGCCTTGTAATTTGTTGAGCAGAAAATTTTTAGCTTTGGAATTGTTGCATTCGAAATCGTATATTTTACCTAGATATTCGAAATGGTCACCAATGCGAATCTGCGGTACAGGGGTGTCATCAATTGTCAACCTCGGCAGGAATTGTTCGTAGTTACCATTTTTCTTCCTCATGCTGAACGTGCAGCATTTATCTATCCTCATTTTCATCCCGGTAGCTTTGCACCAAGCTTTGTTTAAGTCAATTAATTTTTGGGCACCTTCTGTGCTGTTGGCGATGATTGCTGAGTCGTCAGCAAATTGGAACCATGCCCTTGATTTTTAATAAGCTGAAGGGCCCCAAATGTAACCACATGGAGATGCTTTAGATTTGCATTTGCGAATAATTGATGAAATTTCTGCATATGATGGTGGATTTATATTAAATGGTATTGCAGGTTCTTGAAGATTTTGTATCCAATTTGGAAGGTTGAATTAATTGTTTGGAGAATCACTTAAAATTGAATGGAAATATTTCTTGCATTCGTTAGAATTAAATTGAGGTGACAAACTTGTTGACTTGTTGAATAGCGATTTGCATGTTTTCCAAAACCGTTGTTTTAGTTGCGTTGAGATGTCATGCGTTTTTTCATTAGGTGCCGATTTTTTTGACTTTAATTTAAATCGAATAGCTTTACTTTTTTCACTAACTTGTTTGTCGAAGTTATTGTTTTTGTGGCCTAAGAACTTGAGTTGTTTTAACTTTTTTTTTTAATTTTAATTGATTTATTCAAATTATTTCCTTTCATGGTGGATGGGGATTCAATTATACCATAATTTGTGGCGAAATAATTGTAGATAAAATTTTGAAATTTGATCGTGTCGTCGTTCAAGTTGCCGAAATCTGAGAAATCGCTTCGATGGATTCGAAAGTAGTCGTTGGCTTCGGTCCATTCTGCCTCTGTTCTTGGCAATTTGACTCCCGGAAGCAATGATTCAGATGTATCGACATCAGTTGATTCTGTTGACGTAGACGACGGATCAGTGTCGGATGCTGAAGCGGAGGTTGGCAGCCGTGGCGAAGAGGGTAAACTGGAGCAGTCATTTTCATGGTTTGATTTTTTATTTGTAACTCTCAGTGTTTTGAACATTTTGCATGAACGTTGATGCATTATAAGACCTCTTCGGCCCTTGCAATATTTCCCGCAACAACATGACAATAAATTATCTACATTATTTGAATTAATATTACTGAAATTAGAGTTAATATTGTTAGAGCTATTGTTTACGTTTAAGTTTAGAGATACAGATGCGGTAATAACAGTAGAAATATTAACATTTGAGTTTGTATTTAATTTTGTACAGCGCCAGGAATGTCTACCAATTGATACAAATGATTTATTACAGTGAATACATATAGTAGCCATATTTAAATTTATGAACCAGATATTTAAAAACCCGATATTAATTCGATAAATTAAACTATTAAAACCGAAATAAAACCAATTTAAATTAAAACTACAATATTCTAGAAATTTTTCCGAATAGAATGAACCTATTTTTAAAAACCAATTACGACAATAAAAACATAAATTATGCATAAAAACAGTGAATTGCACCAATCGGCCAACTCTCTTGTAATATACCCGCATAATAATAATAATATAATAATAATAAGGAGAATGATTTAATTAAGATTTTATCTTTTCCACTCCTTATTGTGTGTGTGAATATATTCATTGATGGAAACATTCTTTTATTGGCCAAACAAATAAAATCCAAACGAAATAATTCAAAAATTATTAATCATATATAAGAGCGTATATAAATAAGATGTAAAATATAATAATAATAATAGTAATAACTCCCGCGGATACGACAATAAAAAGCTTAGAGATGACACCTGGAAACCGAAAAAAGAAGAAACTCAGAAAAATGCTCTACTTGGAACTGCACATATCCTTAGAACGTTTCTTGGATGATATCTTTTGGACTTAGATGAGCCCTGTAATCATCTGTAAACCGGCTTAGACAGTGATCAACAGATAACAATAATTCATTCAATTCAATTCTAAAAATATTTTATTTGTCTGAAACAGAAGCAGGAGACTCGAAGCTTAACTTGTTGGGCCACCTGAAACAGAAACAATACGTATTAACAAAGAAATAATAATAATGATAATAATGATGATGATGATGATAATAATAATAATAATAATGAATAGTGAATAACATTTATAGCCAGCAATAAAACAATCAAACCGATAAAACAGGAGATGACCAGTAGCAACACAACCGACCAGCCAACGAAGCAGCAGAAAGAAAGAATAAAATTATTGACAAACAACGCCGAGAAGAACAATGATATGATGAAGGAAGCATTAGAAACAAATGCATGGCACACCCAACGTAGAAGAAGTAAATGAACTGAAGATAGGTTATTTATTTTATTTCCATGCTAAAGTGCATCTCAGAGGAACAGTTTCATAGCTAGAGCAATTTTGAGTGCTTAATAGCGAATGTTCCGCGGTTCATCCCACGACGACAATATCATTCGATGAACATACAAAAACATAGCGCCCATATCAGTCGAACATTTTAAAGATTCCAAACTTGATGATGGTGTTCGTGCCGATGGTGATGGTGCATGTCTGTATGATAATGTGGTATATGCGTATATGATAATGTGGGGCATGTGTATATGATATTAGGGATGCACCGGATTCAGGTTTTTCAAATCCGGCCGGGGCCGGACTTGGCCGGATTTAAAATTCAAAAACCGGCCGGGGCCGGAGCCGGATTTTAGTTACCATTTTACATACGTTAGAAAAAATACTCACATTTATGGTTATCTACATGTTGAACATCAAAAAATAACACCAAGCAAATAGTTATTTAATTCAAATATATGAATAAGTTGTGTGATACGCCAAATTCTGTACACAAAGATCAGCTTATAATTTATGCATATTTGCATAACCCATGTTAAAGCACAAAGAAAATTGTCCAGCTCACCGCACAATTAGTGATGTTGTAATTATGTGTCATGTATACCTAACCTTTAACATACCATGTTCTTAAATTATGTGCTTATGTATCTCTCTCTCTCTCTCTCTCTAAATATATATAGATATATATCTTTATATATATATATATATATATATATATATATATATTATGTAGCTATATGATCCGTCATGTGCAATTATCAATATATAGTATATACACGTGCACAAGTTCTTTTACACAAAGATCAGCTTATAATTTATGCATAACCCATGTTATAGCATAAAGAAAATTGTCCAGATCACCTCACAATTAGTGATGTTGTTATTATGTGTCATGTATGCCTTCAGCTTAGCCTTAGCCATTAACTTATTGACATAAAATTAATTGAATTCAATAAAATTTTTTTTCTATTTCTAACATTTTTAAAAGTTGATAGACGCTTAAATCCGGCCCTAAATCCGGCCCTAAATCCGGCCCTAAATCCGGCCACCAAATCCGGCCGGGGCCGGATTCGACCGGATTTGAAAAAAAGCCAGATTTTGGCCGGGGCCGGATTCGACCGGATTTGAAAAAAAAGCCGGATTTTGGCCGGGGCCGGAGCCGAACTTCGGTGCATCCCTAGATAATATGGTACATCTGTATATGGTAATATGATGCATGTGTATGTATATGACAATATGGTGAATGCATGCATAGATTATGGTGGTGCATTCATAGATGAAGTAGATGCATGCATGGTATGCTAGTATATTTTTATAACGGCTTTAATTCAATTGTTGCAAATACAAATCGGGCAACCAAAAGAATTATTGATTATCAACATTTTTTTTTAAAGATTTCAAGGTACGTAAATTTGTTGATCGGTTGTTTGTTCATGATCGATGATCTAACTGACGGTTTGGATGAATAAAAGCTTTAATGAATGAATGAAAACAATTTTGAAAGAAAAGTCCGTCAAACTGGATGGCTAACAATTGCTGGAAAGCCATTTTAAATAAAATGCTGGAAATAATGCGTCCCTTCCTCATATGACGGTTGACTTCTAATTCAACATTTGAATGGATTTATTGGCTATTTCTATTCTGCAAAATTTTCTTATAAATTGAGCAGGAAAAAAATAAAATGACAAATAAATTATATTATTTGCTGGTTACTCAAGAAATGGCCGAAGTTCATTTCATGTGCATGAACATACGTTAGATGTGGAGTCGATTGGTGAGAAATTGGATGTTTGAAGTTTCTTTGTTTAAATACATGATTTAATAAAAGTTATAAATTTTTGAAGAATTTAATAATTACTGATTAGACAATTGAAAAATGTTTAAAAAGTTAGACAATTGAAGAATGTTTAAAATGATTTTTTGTTTAACATTTGAGAGAACTGAGACTGCCTGGAGTTCGCTTAAGCAGTTCTTCTTAAATAAATTAACAACTACTTGGTAACCACAAATTGCTCGCCAAAACTGTATCAGAAGAGCGGTGATATACGCGGAACTGCTAACATATCATGCTATACTTAGATTGTTGTGTCCCAAAGACTCTACCGTTCACAGACATATTTTGTACACACGCGCATGAAATGGGTCACACACATATTAGATAGCCTTTGAGTTTCGGACTGACAGCATTCGAACCAGGTCATCGTGAAATGAGACCGCGAGATTTGGCATTTCTACCACCTGAGCTAACTCGCCGACTTGTGGTAATTTTATAAATACTAAAAATGTATAATCATTCTATAATTTGTTCAATCTTAGACTACTCAAAAATAAGTAATAAATTTATCACGTTTGTTAGACCTTATATTTTCCATCTATAACATTTGAACGTTGGTGCATAATTAAGTTAACTTGCACTAAATAATTAATTAATTCAATTTAAGTTAATATGCACAATCTCGTTTTTTTTATCATATCGTTTTTTAATCATGCTGATTAAAATTTTGAATAAATACGAAATAAATGCCGATATGTTTTTCAGAGGATACAAGATTATAAGAAAATTTGTTATATTAATGAACATAGAATTTCACGTATTAAAAAATAAACTGAAAGATGTCTCACCCGTGAATGTAACGATCAATTACGGCATGTGATCTGAGGCACAGGATATATATATATATGCTTGAGCATCTGGCCAAATATAAAACTTATCAATTCGAGCACCGAAGTTGGTATAGGAATATCGAAAAAAGCTTTTTTGTTCTATCATGCTTAAATGTTCTATTAAACTTAAAATAAATACAAATTTTGATTTTAAACTTAAAAAACTTGACAATTATTTACTATCTAAAACCGAAAAATTAAACAGAAAGATAACTAACGCGGAACATGCTGGGATTTTCATCAATAACTGCATTTTTGACAGTCTTAATCCAATATATATATACTGTCTCATATTTGTGTGTTTGTGTGTGTGTGTCTGTGTCTGTGTTTACGTGTGTGCGTACTGACTACATGTGGAAATTATTGAATAGAAAACAAACAGTGCACAAAGGAAGGAATGAAAGAATGAGTGTGAACTAACAAACGACAGTAAGAAATACTTGACTGCTCAATTAGTACTAATGAAAGTTGATGGCGATGACAGCGCTTAATCATTAACAGGTACCTACCTCGTACGTCATCGTCAGCCAAACGACTACTGCATTCCTAATATTTCACAGATTTAACAGCTTGCTACTCGCACAATAAAATGCAATTTTGCTTGCATGGCAAATGTTCTGTCTGCTTACAACAATATCAATGCTACATGACGAGTTTCTTGTTTTAACAACATCCTGGCGTATTCTGATCGTATTGAAGATTTCAATAAATGTTCGGATAATATGATTATTATATTATTTTTTAGTTTTTTTAGTTTAGATTTCAATTTAAAGTTGCTATTAACATTGTATTCCGTTCAATGAAAGATTTACTACGGTATTAACTCTTGAGAAAGAATGAATGATAATCTTCAGTTAAAATTTTACTCCCATTTTGGTCTTCGAATCACCTGTTGAGTTGGTTTTTTAGCTACTGTGGATGTGTGAATATACGTGCGTTTGTTGTGCTGGTCTCCTACTTGTATTCATCATGAAATAAAAGCCACCATACAAATTATAAGGTACGTATGTTAATAGTACTATAAATTGTATGGTATATGCATTTATTGTATATATATATATATATAGTTACTTTTATTTATATTTACGCATGCACACACACACACAAACACATAATAAGCAGAGATGTAATCATATTACATGAGCGTAGTTAGATTCACAGCAGGTGCAGCAGAGCAACATGGAGTCCAAAGAAATGAATATCCTGTCGTTACTTCCGCTGAGTTATGCGAAGTTTCCCACCGTTTTGAACTTACCTGCCCAGCTGGAAAGTTTCTATATATGTGAGTGCATGTGTGTGCGTGTCTGATGCTATGTAAAGTGTATGTGTTCTTCTATGTGCATGTATAAGTTCACTGGCGTTTTTTTGTAAATATATACGTGTGCGTGTGTATAAATAAATGGAGATGTGCGCATGTGTGTGTATGTGATCATGTAACTAAGTAAGAAAGTTATTTTGAGTTTGTGAGTGTGTGTGTGTGTGTGTGTGTATGTGTGTGTGTGTGTGCACGTAAAAACCTTTTATGCATTTTATACGTGCATACATTTGTTTATATTTGAATGTTCACATCAAACACACCAAACGCATACGGAGAGTGAAAAACATGTGCAACTTTTTTATTTGTTTTCTGAACGTCGAGACAGAATATAGTGAAGCAATGCGTGTGAGCTGTTGGTGTGTGGTGGTTGGTTGGTGCAGTGGCGGATCTAGACAATTTTGATGGGGAGGGTGCTGAAATTGTGAAAATGTTTAAGTTTTTATGGGGGGGGGGCAAAATTTTTATGGGGGGTAACCAAAATTTTTTAGGAGGGGGGCAAAATTTGTGGTAGTGTTGCTGACTTATTAAAAAACTGCTCTGCTCACAACGAGAGAGGAAGTGTCCCCGATTCCCAGGCTTCCCCTAATCGCCACTGGGTTGGTGAGTAGGTGGTGGGTAATGGGTGATGTGTGGTGTTATGTGTGATGTAAGGTGGGTGTGTGATGGTGTGTGGTGGGAAGGTGCAGCAAACTCTTCGTAGATGATCGCACTTAAAACAACATGCGTTAAGAAAAATTGAAAAAGTGCGGTTGTTATTTTTGCTGCTGCAGTTGTTGGCGAGGGAAGCTTACTTCTGCTTTAATATCATGTACATAAACATTGGGGCTTTGGGCACTATTTGAAAAAAGGTGCAACTAACATCACTTTAAATTATTATGCGAAATAATTTTGTTTTGCAATAATAATGTAATAATGTTGTTCTGTAACAAATTGCATACATTCGTTTCAAATTGCTTAAACAATTTTGACAAGTAAATAATAGTCTGCACATAAATATTACAATTAATTTATTATAATATATTAGAACAGTATATTAAAAATATTAATGCACTTGTCTTATGAAAACAAAATGTTTCAAAAGTTTCAATCTTCTTTGAGTGCATGTCAACTATGAACCTAAATTTAATCACCCAACACCCATACAATTTTTCAAATGCAAAAGTACCAAATTGTAGAAAATTATATATCCACAATTTTTAATGTTTTTCCCCATAGAAGGACTCATTACAAGACTCATTAAATTCAAAACAAGACCCACTAGCCTTGCACCACGGGTTGCCCTAGACTTCAGTTCTTGAAATTTTATTTTCTTTTTATAATTTTAAGAGAATTTGTAATGATATAGAACAGGCAAACTTTTGTGAAAGTAGTTGTAGGCTGACAACGTATGATGACTGAATGACTTGCCCCAAACACTTCGACTGTTGACCATCAACCAGCATCTCAAGCGTGATGGATGTCAGAAAATAAGCAACAACTGAACTTGAATAAATCTTGCACGCACGAATTAGTAATGAACTTTGGCATAATTCTTCTTTCCCCAAGTTTTTCTAGAGAAGCTCGCACCAGATGTCTTACTCAACAACCACTTAATCAAGCGATCAGAAGTTATCTTGCAGAAGAATCTACAAATATCTGGCGAACAATGATTATTGCAATACAACAGCTACATATTTGACGTTATTTGTATTGAGATTCGGTTTTGAACTCGACAGAATGTCACACGAACTTCATTGGACATTAGCAGAAGAAGAAATTTATTTGAAATGACACCCAGCCGGAGACCAGTAACTCCATGAAAATGTTTGGAAAACTTTTTCAAATGTTAAAAACAAAAATTTAGACTATAAGAACTGTTCTTTATCAATAGCCTTTGACTGCAATGACCTTCCCTTCACCTTCATTACGTAAACTATCCAAGAAATTACGCGCAAATAAGATGGGGAACGTTGAGAAGGGGTCTTTTAGTGGACTTTTAATGATGAGAGACAGGGAAGTGAGTGGTTTTGTTGTATTTCTGAATTATTGAAAAAAGCTATTTTGAATAACTAAGTTTCGCAAGGCAGACTTCATGTGGTTGAATTTAAGACCATTACAGATGGGTTCTAGTTCTAAACCAGAGGCTTGTTTTTGAAAAGGGAGTGCAATAATCAATCTGAATGAATGTCTCAAAAGGCGCGTAATTTTTTAATAAAAATTATCTGGTTTTGTTTAGTTTACACATACGCGTTTTGTTTTTTTAGTTTAGACACACACACACCACACACACATACACACACACACACACACACACATACCAGACACATGATTATACATATGTGGTTCGTTATTAGACATCAGCCTTTTGACCCATATTGATGTTGATGAAAGGTCTGAAAAATAGTTGCAACTTCGCACGCGCCAATCACGATTTAAGATCAGCGTGTTTCATTGTGTGAAAATAACATTAATAAATGGATTAATTATTGAACAAATAATAAACATAAATATATTTATATCTGTGCGTGCGTGCGTGTATGCGTGCTTGTATGCGTTTGTGTATACGTCTGTAAAGAGAGATTAAAGAAATTGTGTTGAAACATTTCCATTCAGTCACAATATATAACATGCACCTAATGTTGTTTATACAGGATGTGCATCGCATAACGTGTAACACATATGGTGTTACACGTTTTTTATTGTGTATTGCATCACTCAAGGTATCATTTGGAACATAATGTACTAGGCAGCACGTAGAACGCTACGCAGCATGTACGCATAGTGTGTTGTGTATAGGTGTGTACGCAAACTTCATTAAAATGTAATTGCACATGTAAAACGCACTGCCTCCTGTTAAATTGTTCAGTATTGAAACAGAACGCATCTCAGCCGCATGTTTTAGGTACCCCATGGGAACCTTCGATACACAGGAAGGTGCTTCAGAGGTATCATAAACACAACGGTTCTATTCTTGGGCTCGGTTTGTTGTAGCTGTTAATGTATTTTTGTTGTGCTGCGTTCTGCGATGGGGGAGTGGTTTGATTATTATTGATGTTGTTGTTGATGTTATTGATGGTTGATGTTATAGATGTTGTTGTTGATCCTATGTTGATGTTGGGGGTTGATGTTATTGTTGTTGATCCTATGTTGATGTTGTCGTTGTAAGGTGGTTGTTCTATTCTAAGTTAGTATTGATTTTATTTTCATTCCTGATATTCATTAAAATATTAATTTTATGTCGTTGCCATTTCTTTACTACAACTGTTCACTACTACTCAAGTAACTTCTTGCACTATTCAAATTATTACCAAAGTTACTGCTATTTCTGTAGTTTTTCTATCATTAATACTACAGCTACTAATACGGCTGTTGCTGTTGCTACTACTAATACAAAAACAACAACTAATATTATTACCCCCACTACCAGTGGCAGGTTTAGTTTTAAACTCACTACCAATTTCATTAATGAATAATCAAGAATTATCATGCGATAGAGTGAGTGCTATAAAATACATTGCCATGATGTGCATTAGGTAGAGTTTAAGAAATGGAATCTTTGACGAAGCGTTTGAATAAACAAACAAACAAACAAACAAATGACAACAAACAAACAAACAAACTGACAGACAAACATACAAACAAACAAACAGACAGACAGAAAAACAAAATATAAACAAACAAGTAAGCGCACAGGCAAACAAACGGACAACTAGCTTAAACTAACTTCTGGCGCATGCGTATTTGCGATGTTCAACAAAATGAAGTAGCGTTGGAAAAGAAGAATGACAGAGCTGGCAGTAGTAATCGTCTGTTCTGGTTCTCGATGTTGATGTTGAAGGTGATGTTAATGTTAATGTTAGAGTTGGTGTTGAAGTTGATGTTGGAGTCAATGTTGGTGTTGAATGTTGCATGTTCTGCTGTTTTAGATATTTTTCGTCGTCATCTTTGTCAATCATTACTTTATTGTTACTCTTAATGTTACAGCTGATGTTAGTGTCGTTAAGATTTCTTACAGTATTTTTCACATTTGTATTGATGCTACTGCAATTAATGTTACTGTTATCAGATGATTCTGAAAATTGTTTACTGTTGATGACTAGTGAGAGATGGTTGTTGTTTCTGTCATATTTGTTACTACCGCTACTGCTGTAAGTGTTGTGGTTGTTATCGCCACTGTGGTTGTGGCTGCCGTGGTTGCTGTGGCTGCTGTAGTTATAGCTGCTTTTGCTGTTCTTAACATTTGTACTACTGTAACAAATGTTGTTTTTGTTGTTGAGTGCATCATCAAGACGGATTTTCAAGTCTCTCTTGTTGTAAAATTCCACTTTTGATTTGTTGAATCCATTAACGTTGCAACCTTTGTGCTCGTTTATGAAAACATCATTCGTAATATCTACACCATAATTTTTGTTACTCAAGTTAGCATTCTCATTGAAGGAGGCATTATTAACAACACCATTCTCAACAACATCGATGCACGCACTGACAGGTTGGTCTTGGAGCGATGGCATTTGTGCTAGTGCTTTTGTATTTGTTGTTGTTGGCAATGTTGTTGTTGTTGTTGTTGTTGTTGTTGGTAGTGGTGTTGCTGCTCCTGGTAAACAATTATAATTCATGTTTTGAACTTCAACACTGTTGTTGTTGTCGGTTTCGGAATGGGAAGTGTTGTTTTCAATCTTAACAATATTATCATCAGTAACTAATTTTTTTTCCTTGTTAGTAAAAACTTTTTCGGTGCATTCTTGGACATGGTGATTTTCATTAAGATTGAAATCACTGACATGCATTGACTTGTCACCGTCTTGCATGATGCTTGCTGGCCTCTTCTGCTCAGATGCATTCCTACTGTTCTCCTTCCAGCTTTTTGAGCTGCTACCTCCTAATATTAAATTTGTGTCAATGTGCTTCTGGTCCTCGTTGTCATCATCCTCGTTGAAGTGATTTTTGCTTTTATTGATTTTGTCGTCTATGTTGTTGTTATTTATATTGTCGTTGTTGCTGTTGTTATTGTTGTCGATGTTAATGCTGTTGTTGGCATTGATGTTGTTTTTGTTGCTGTTGTTGTTGTTGTCGATGGTAGCATTATCGATATCGCCGTCTTTAATTTTTACATTGTTGAAATCATTTGGGGTTTTTGATGGAAGGTTGTGAATGATATGTCCTTCATCTGTTGGAGTTGTTGGTATTATTATGTTGTAGCTGTTGTTTTGTTTGTATTGTTGTTGTTTTGTTTGAACAAAACTCTTAAACTAAATTATAAAAATTAAAAAAAAAACTCTTATTGGATAGACACTATATACAACGTTATCATCTTATTAACCCTGAAACATACACGCCATGGCAGTAGGCACACACACACACACACTCACTCACTAATATAAATTTGGAGGCATTCTCGTGCACATACTTATTTATACACCCACACATAGACACACACACACAAATAAATTGACACGACTCATCAAACAAATACATAAAATCATAACGAACAACGACTTTAATTGATTTAAATTTAATAAATTTAAATCGCAAAAATATATCAAAAAATTAAATTTGTTAATTTTAATTTGGAAGCAATCAAAGTAATAAATTGTTATGGATTTAACGCAACGTGAGAATGAACTCAGTTTTATGAAATATTAAACATTCCAATAAAACAAAAAATATAACTAGCCTTTGTTAAAGCTGAAATTTAGTGGCACAATGTCGCCATGTGTGTCCATGCTTTCTTCAAGAGAAATATCCAAAACACCTGTTTGTTCATTTTTGTGTTATTTTACGATTCTGCTTCGTATTTCTCAACAAAATTTTTTTAGGAAACTTTCAAAAATTTTGCTTGACACTGACATGATTTTTACACTACGATTATTTTGCTCATCTTATGAATAGTTTAAACAGAAGCAGTAATCATTAGTCTCATTGTTGCTGTTTTGTTGTTGTTGTTATTATAATTGATGTTGTGGTTGTTGCTATGAATGGTTGCAGTTATAATAGATAAGTAGAATTTTATTTAAACTCAAAATAATAAAGTAATGATAAGCTTACGTAAAACAAGTGCAAAGGACAGAAGTGCATGTGCTGAGGCCAGTGCATATGCGAGATCTCATCAGACGATCACTCATCGTTTAAATATATAGAGAGTTCAATGTTTAAGATCTTATCTATCCACTTTTGTAAACTTTTAAAATGTTTAACTTATATTTACAGCAAAATGTTGAATTAATATAAATTCGTGAAAAAATAAAAAAGTCATCTTTACCATAGGAAACTGTTTCAAATTTTTTTACATATGAAGCTTCAAAACGCAAACCGTTCTTTTAAAAAAGCCGCAATACAACAAAATATTTCATCCCTAAGCGATACTATAATGACATGACAGCAGTATGCTTAAAAAACGGTTTAGACTGTTTATCTCATTTATAGTAGCATTCAACTCTGGAAGCGTTGTTTTTAATGTTCATATAGGTTCATATAATGTTCCTATATTATAGGAGATAATTTTTCATTTTAAAAAAACATTGCAAAGAAAAGGTCCAAAAATTTATAAAGTCCTAACCGTGTACTCGAGCACCGCGTGTGGATTGTTTTGATGTGTACGCGTGTAATGCATACATTACAGTTGCCTCGGTGTACAAGTGCAGATGTAAACATTTGCTTAACCATTCAGCGCTTGTGTTGCAGAGACAAAATGATAAAAAATTGGATAAACATCAACAAAGTTGTGTGGATTTGAGCGTACACTCCCGGTGGATGGAGACTTGATGAGTGAATTTTTGTGCAGTGCCACTAGGGAGGCATAACTAACTCCCAGAGTTTGTTTGTTTTGGATCACGTATTAATAATATTTTACGCCAAACAATATATAATTCTCTACACCGTTCGAAACTGACTACATTGTACATATATGGTTCATTTGTTTCGTTCAGTAAGAGTTTTGATGTTATAGACTGATATCTAAAATAGATATTTAAATATTAACATCGATGTACTCAAAAAATAAAAATTTTATTTGTTATCAATGAGCAATTTAATGTATTTTTATTTGTTACATGCTTTATTTGATATGTCGTTCAACTGTTGGAACGTTTTACCGGATATCCTGTTAGATATTTTGTTGAATGTCTTATTGAATATCTTATCAAAAATTTATTAGATATCCTATTTATTGAATATGGTACTGATTATTTTGTTGGGTCATTTACTAGATACTTTGTTTGATATCTTATTGGATATCTTGCTGGATATCTTAGCAGGAGCCCAACAACAGCAACAAGACTACCCGACACACAGTGTATAAACAAGAAAGCAAATTGCTTTTGACCTCCCAGAGGTGCAACTCGAATGAGAAATGAGTCAAACATAAAGTCAAGTTAGTACTAAGTCCAGTTCTCCCCTGTGCATTGCTCTGGCGCATTGAGAGAAAATGGAAAATGGATTCCGTCATGATTATGTGCACAAATGCATGCATGCACAACCGCACGTCTGTCTGTGTTGCAACCTTTTCACGTGTGCACATGCTCATGCTTGTATGTCTCATTGCCTATGCGTTGAAAAATATCTGTGTGTGTGTGTGTGTGTGTGTGTGTGTGTGTGTGTGTTTGAGCGTGTGCAGTGCATGTTTGTGTATGTGTGTATAACATAATAAAAAATGCTGAGTGCAGGTTACAAAACCCATATATTATCCAATATCCATTATCCAATTAAACAACTCCAACAACCACTAAATTATAAAAAACAAAAAAATATTAAAATCAGTCCAAGTAAGTCAAAGAAATTTATACAAATAAATAAATGTACAAACTAAATATAGTTTCAGCATATCAGCTTAAATCGAAAACCGCTTCACTTGAGTATTGGATAGTTGCTGCTGCCGTATCTCTACTTCTTAATGCCGACTAACTTTGACTAACGATTAAATCTGAAAATTTGCTGTCCACAAAAAGACTATCAATTGTCCCTTGTCGGTTATCACACAAAATTATTTTTAAGAAATAAGGAAAACAGAAATACCACCCCAATACTGTTCATTTTCCAGTGGTCAATCATGTCAGACGCATCACATTCCTAATGAGTAATGAGAGAAAAATTTCCACAGTTTCTAATTTTGCTTGCCATGTTTTCGAACCCTCTAATAAGCGTGAGCCAACGATAATTTCGGATGATTCTATATTTTCCTTGGTGAGAAAACTGTTTTTAAAACGTCTTTAATGTATATATGTCGGCAGTAAGATGGTGTAATGGTCCGGTTGTTGCAGTGACCGAGTTCAATTGCAAGGAAATCCCATCTACACTACCATATCCAATGTGCGCAATGAGTAGATTCACAAGTTACATATTCAATTCACATGCTGTCTCTCTCTTTCTCCGTCTTTTTCCCTCCCTTCTTCTCTTTCTCTACCTGTGCCGTCGTAAAAAAATATTTGTTTCAAGCAGGATGCAACATAAAATTTTGAAAGAGATTTCTTCTATATCGTCGGAGTAATATTACCCAACATTGTATTATATATATATATATATATATATTTATATTGTATTATATATATATATTGCATATATATATATAAATTGTATTATATATATATATATATAGTTATTTATTTATGAGTGTTTATGATAGCATACATTATATACGTATATATGTAGCGTATACCATGTGAGTCTTGTTTATGTATATATATATATATATATATATATATATATATATATATATATATATATATATATATATATATTCATATATATATATAAAGTATTTTGATTTTTTGATTGTATGAATAATACCGAATTGTAGGCATTAAACAATTTAAAGTTTGCCTGATGAATTTGGATAACAACAGTTTCATTAAATTTTCATGATGAACTTCATGGATAATAATTTTATATTCAATTGGTTAATGCCAACAATTTGGTAGAATTCATACAATACCGTATATATATGTATACATAGCTTCAAATTGATTAATGCCAACAAATTGGCAGAATTTATACAATACTGTATATATATATATATATATATATATATATATATATATATATATATATATATATACAATTATTTATAAATTAATATGTTATAAATTATTTATAAAGATCACTGCGTTTC